CCCAGCCAGCTTTGCTGGCTGGGGCATTCTGGGAGTTGAAGTCCTCCAGGCTTAAAGTTGCCAAGGTTGGACACCCCTGGTTTACAGTATTCCAATAAAGTCAAAAAGAAAGCAGTGCAGATAAGATGACCCTTGATGGATCATATCAGAAGCATGTCTGAGCCAGCTTTTTATTTCTACGGTAAAGTAGATATCTCTGCTTCATTTTCTACCTTTCTTTCTCCTCAGAATGGGATTTTTTTTAAAAAAATGAAATTAAGCCCGCTTTGCTTGCGTATATAAGGGAAATGAAACTTTCAACTGTTCCAAAGGACTGAATCTTTGTGCTTTGTTTCAGCCTATACTATTTCTAAATACGGGATGTCCATGTGTGTGCTGGGAATGGCAGAGGAATTTAGAGGAGAAGTTGCTGTTAATGCTTTATGGCCTCAAACAGGTACAAGTCTTTTTTTATTATTATTATTATTGAAAGGTTTTACTGATCGGCTTCTGGTTTTTAATGTGCTAAGTTTGGATTAGAATCTCATTCATTCAGTCATTCAATTGCATTTGACTGTTCATGACCTGATGGAAGAAGAGCCACGGTGGCACGGTGGTTAGAATGCATTATTCCAAGCTAACTCCACCCACAGTCTGGGGCTCGATCCTGACTGGCTCAAGGTCGACTCAGCCTTCCACCCTTCTGAGGTCGGTAAAATGAGGACCCAGAGGGTTGGGGACAATATACTGACACTGTAAACTGCTTAGAGCTGTAACGTGGTACAATGAAGCGGTATATAAGTCTAAGTGCTATTGGATATCATTTCTCCAGTCAATAACTGCTTCTTTGAGTCCTTGTAAGCTTCTCCTTGTGTCATCTGTAATTTATCTGGACAGTTTATCTTCAATCTCTCTTTTTTGATTGCCTTCCTTTTTTGCAAATATCAGGAGTTACATTCCAAGTTTGGTCCAGTTGTTTTTTGTTTTCAGAGTGTTGTCCTGCCAGTGGATGGATAGCGTCCTGAACGTCTTTACAACATAGGCAATTTCTTTCCAATGTATTGATGGAATGGAAAGAATAATCATTATAAAATGGAGGTGCCCAAAACAAGTTGTTCTTGGAATTGGGCCTGGTAAGATGAAGAATGGAGCCAGATAAAAGGTTCTTGGGGTGGTTGAGAATGGGTAGGAAATGCAACAGGTGTCTGGAGTGTGAGTGGATATTGTGAACAGCATTTGACTATTTGCCCAATGCTGCACTTTCTATATTCTTTTTGAAGAGCAGGCAGAATAACAGAGTTGAAAGAGACCTTGGAGGTCTTCTAGTCCAACCCCCTGCTCTGGCAGGAAACCCTATACTATTTCAGACAAATAGTTGCCCAATCTTTTCTTAAAAACCTCCAGTATTGGAGTATTCATAACTTCTGAAGAAAGTTGTTCAGTGGTGGGATTCAAATATTTTTACCACTGTTTTGGTGGGCGTGGCTTGATGGACGCGCTTTGCATGCATGCACACACTTTGCGTGCATGCGGGTGCCAAATGCGCCCTTTGCACAGGCGCAGAGGCGTTTGTGCAGATGCAGAGGCGTTCTAACTTGCCTCCTGCAAGCTTGCACAATCCCAGTCGCTTCAGCAGCTGCTGTGCGGCACTCTGAGTAGGGGAGTAGGGGAGCCCGGGCGGGGGGTGGTGGGCCCAACAACAGAGCGGCAGAGAGAACTGGTGTTCGGTCTCCGCTGTTCATCGCTACTACTGGCTCGACAGAACCGGGCCGAGCCGGTAGAATACCACCACTAAAGTTGTTCCACTGTTTACTAGTTCTGTCAGGAAATTCCTCCTTGGTCCTAGGTCGCTTCTCTCCTTGATTGTTTCCCATCCATTGCTCCTTGTCTTGATTTCAGGTGCTTTGGATAATAGGTTGACCGCTTCCCCTTCTTTGTGGCAACCCCTTAGATATTGGAACACTGCTTTCATGTCACCAGGGGTGGGATTCTACCAGTTCTGTCCACCTCTGTAGAACCGGTAGCTCTGAAGAGTAGCAGACATAGAACCGGTTCTATGTCTGCTGATGTTTTTGCCCACCCATTCACCCGGGCTCTTACCTCACCTTTATTTCCTGGTTTTTTTCAACTTCAGCTGCCTTGCGAGGCACAGCTGCAGTTAAAAAAGCAGGAAAAAAGTGCTGTTTCAAAGGCTGCTTCTCAGCATGCAGCGTGCTAATGATGATTTATAGGCGCGTGGCTCACAGCGGGCAGGGAAGCTTGTAAATCCCGAACTGGTAGTTAACCCTGTCATATCCCACCCCTGCATGTCACCTCTTTTTCATATCCAATTTCAGCAACCTTTTCTCATATGTTTTAACCTCCAGTCTCCTAATCATCTTTGTTGCTCTTCTTTGCCCTCTTTCTAGAATCTCAACATCTTATTTACATCGTGGTGTCCAAAACTCAACGCAGTAGTCCATGTGTGGTCTTACTAAGGCATTATAAAGTGGTATTAACACTTCACGTGATCTTGACTCTAATCCTCTGTTAATACAGCCTAGGACTGCATTGTTGTTGTTTTTTGGCAGCTGCAGCACCCTGCTAGCTCATCGTATTTAAATGGTTGTCCGCTAGAACTTCAAGATCCCTCTCACAGTTACTACTATTGAGCCAGGTACCTCAGAAACTATCAAAAAATCATTATTAAATCAACCCCTTCATTCTTCTGTGTTTTTAGCTATATACACCTCTGCGATGGATATGCTGGGAGGAGCTAATGTGGAAAAACAATGCAGGAAAACAGACATTTTAGCAGATGCTGCCTATTGTATTTTATCAAAGCCAAAAAGTTTCACCGGGAACTTCATTATTGATGAGGTTTTATTGAGAGAAGAAGGGATTAAGAACTTCGATGTATATGCAGTCGCTCCAGGTAATGTGGATGTAATTTTTAACACATTGAATTGTGTACTACACCAAAATGACTACAAATTATATGTCAGACCCCTAACTGACACATAATTGCTAACATAAATCACACTGATTTCAGTTGTTCTACTTATATGTATTGCTAAGTCCAGTGGTGGGATTCAAATATTGTTGCCACCGGTTCGGTGGGCGTGGCTTGGTGGGCGCACTTTGCACGCATGCACACACTTTGCGTGCACCAAACGCGCCCTTTGCGCTGGCGCAGAGGCGTTCTAACTCGCCTCCTGCAAGCCTCTACACACGAGCAAAGTCCAAGAGAACCTCCACCCTGTAAACCTGTTTGCGATGAGCTTTTTTTGTGAGGTCTCACTATTTGATGGAAGGCAAATTTGAAAATGCGTTCTTGATGCATTTTAAATTGCTCTACAAACAAGCGACAGGTAATTCTGGAATCAATTACATTCTTCAGCAAGGGTCAACAAGTTTACTTACACTAGGTATGCTGTTTTTGGAGTCTCCTCTTCTCATGTCCGTTTTCATTGATAACCAGCAGGAAAGGAATGAAGCACAGCATAAGATTTAAAATCCCGTTGAAAAAAAGTGTGGTTTCTTCTATTGAATGTCATGCAGCTTGCATGCTCCTTAATGCCATAGGTATCCCTCTGTATGATATTGGTTGAATATATTGGTACATTGCTATATTTCTGAAGCCCAACTGGAATGGGTTCTGATAATCCAGTTGATCCAGGAGTCGTTTGATCCAAAATTCTCTGCCCGAGCCCACTTTCTCAACAGTGTTCTCTCCAAAGGGAAAGTAGAGATTGGACATTAACTGTCCAGGATGGAAGCGTCCATCTACATCATCTTGAGAAGCTTTCATGGCTGAAGAACAACCCCCGTCACTAAAAGAGATATTGCATCGATCCACCCCATCTCCCGAGCACCTTAATAACCCAGGAGGGAACTGGATCTCACAGACAGATAGCTGAATAGTGCCAAAGACCTTGTTTAAAACATATGACCATAATGGTGCCTGTCTGTAGGGATCCTAAGTTATGATTGTTGTAAATCATGAAATGGACTTGATTTTACAATCTTTTTTTGCACAGGGGTGGGCTGCTGTGGGGTTCAGAAGAGCCCCTAGCTAAGATTCTGTGCAGTTCGGAGAACCCCCAAATCTCACTTCTGGCTGGCCCCGCCCACCCCTCCCCTCCCAGGAGTCCCCATGTGGCCCATTTTGGATGTAGTTAAGGGCAGGGCATACCTGGAGGCTCGGGGACAGCGAAAAACGGGCCTCCTGGAAGTTCGAGAAGGCCGGAAATGGGCCTGTTTCCAGCTTCCAGAGAGCCTCCAGAGCCCGGGGAGGGCAAAAACGCCCCCCTCCCTGCCATGGTGCAGGAGGCCAACTAAGCCACGCCCACCATGGCCACACCTACCCAGCAACCGGGCAGAAAACCCTTTGCTAAAATTTTTGAAGCCCACCTCTGTTTTTGCAGTGGTCGTTAAACAAATGCCACAATCTTTAAACAAAACTAGTCATTAAACCCATTCACTATGGCAATGGTCCCCCATTTTTGCAGCTTGGCAGCCCGGCTGCGGGGGAGAGGGGAACTGGGTGCGCAAGGCACACATGCGTGCACAGTTCACTCACATGAGCAGTGGGCAGACGCCCTTGTCCATGCGCACACGGCTCGACTGCAAGTGGAGCTGCGCATGCATGTGTGCCAGCCCAACACTCGTGCAGTTGAGCTGCTCATGTGCTGGCCTGCTGCTTGCGCAACCCAATTCCAAATAGGCTACAGCCTGGTAGTGGGCCACAACAGTTTCGCTGAAAAACAAAAGTGTCAATTGTCAGCAAAATATGGTTATATGACCGCAAGATGCTGCAGACGGCTGCAAATGAAGTTGTATTGCTAACACCCAGCAAGTTTTCCTCAAACTATTCCATCTCTCCCATGAAATTCTGTGTCTTAGACAATTGGTCTGAAAAATAATTCTGATGCACTAGTGGGTTCCATAGCCTGTAGGTGTGTTTACATTTGGAAATCATAGCCCATTCTGGTTTCTGAAATGGATCTTTGCAAATATTTAAAGATGTACATGCATGTATGATTGCATTTGTGCATTTGCTTTAAATAGCACCAAAATTTGCCACATCGGATTTAAATTAATGGTTTGATATTATCATATGAAGGGTAAATCTTTTTTAAAAAATAACTATTATTTCTATTTGCCTTTTAGGTTATCCTTTGATACCAGATTTTTTTTTAGATGTGGATCCTGATACGATAGCAATGAAAATGGAAGCCCAGGGTGAGAAACTACTTTGTCTCTATCATTGGTTAGTCCAGGATTGAAGAGGGGGAAGTGGGAGAGGCCTCCCGCTGTCCCTCATAATTTTCATTTGTCTCCAGATCAATTCTGGAAAGAATTCTGGAATTTTTTACAGAACATGTAAAGTCTGCAAGACTGGGAAAAATGGATTGGTTCTATCAAGATCTTGGTTATTGGCCAAACTCATTTGGAGACAACCCAATGGTTGGATTCATAATCACAATAAACCATAATGTAGTTTGTTTGGTTTTTATATTAGGATAATGTGTTAGTTCAGACAATATAGTTTATAGAATATGTTACAAGAGCTATGGTGGCACAGTACTGCAGGCTAATTCTGCTGACTCCGGATTGTCATCAGTTCGGTAGTTTGAATCTCCCCGGCTCGAGGTTGACTCAGCCTTCCATCCTTCTGAGGTGGGTAAAATGAGGACCCAGATTGTTGGGGGCAATTTGCTGGCTCTGTAAACTGCTTAGAGAGGGCTGTAAAGCACTATGAAGCGGTATATAAGTCTAAGTGCTTTTGCTATTGTTATTGATGACACTGGAGATGGTCTTTGCTCCAGGGGTTTGAGTCTCAGCGGTGGGTGGCATGGTGAGCTCCTGTCACTTGCCTCAGTTCTGCCCACCTAGCAGTTCTATGTGAGTAGATAAATATTTACCACTTCGATGGGGAGATGAGCTGGTATTTTGTGTGGATAGTTAGACTCCTGCTGGCGCTGGACCTTCTCGGTTGCGATGCCTGTTTGTGAGGTGGCTTTCTTTCTGATGCAGAGCTAGCATACACCCTGTGGCACACCTTGGAAAGTGTGCAGGCATGAACCAAGCAAGGCTAGCAGACAGCCAAACTACTAATCAGAATTAGCATTGTAGTCTCCTGTCCTGGCTAATGTAACATTGCTATATGCTAAATAAATAAATTAATGAATGTAGGACAAAGCATTTTTTGTGGCTAATTGTGGCTCATTGGTTGATTAAGTAAAACTGGCATAACTCTGTATCTTGTTTATTTTAATTGTAAATAAACATGTGCTTTCATTGTTATCAAGCTAGTATATAGTATCCATAGACTATCGCCCTTTAATTAGTTTATTCATGGGTGATAGTTTTTATGATTGCCGATCTTTTTTTCTTTTGTTCAGTAGAAATTTTAAGAAAACTCTTGAAAATGAGAAGAAAATCTTGGTCCTGAATACAGAATGGTAGAATCAGACTGAATTAAGAATAGGTCTCTCTGGAGATTTTAAATCACCCTTTACTAAAACACAAGCACTAATTTTTCTTCTTGCTGATCGTCCTATAGGAGCTTCTCCAACCTTCAAAGAAGAAAAAAAACAAGATATTGTGAAAAATGAAGGTCCTGATAAAACAAAGGCCGAAGGACCTGATAGAGACAAACCACATGTACACTTCTCTGCAGATAAACCAGCAGGGCCTGTAGCAGAAACATTTAAACTTATAAAAGGAATGATAAATGAAGATATTGTAAAGGCAACTCAAGGAGTTTATCAGTTTGAATTATCTGGTAAGGATTCTATACATATTTTAAGACATTGCATTGCACGATGGCCTCATGTAATCAAGCAATTAGGAACGCACTAAACAATCTGTGTCCTGTTGGGTCATTTCAGACATACTTCCTTAATTGAACAGAGAGACAGAAAGATCACATGTAGGCAAAATGCACTGGGAGCCGGCATGACTTCTGACTTCCTGCCAACTTCCCCATTTAGTTTGCTTGCAGTAAGCTAGCAAGGAGAAATCCAGGGGAAGCCAGCAGAAAGCTGCAGGTTCAAGGCCAACAGGCAGGTATATAGCCACCAGGTGGGGAAGGGAGCAAGGGGATGTGGTGGGGTGTAGGTCAGGAATTGGGGTGTAATGGAGGTAAAACGAGAGGTGCTGTGCAGATTTGAAAGGGTGAGTGGGTGGGTTTGAGATATGCTGTGTAGGTCAATAGGCCATGTGGGGAAGTGGAGCAGTTCAAGAAGGTTGCCTGATGGTCATGGGTCTGTGTGAGGGATGTCCAGTGGTTTTAGAGGATGCAGGTAGGGAAGGGTGCTTAGAAGTGCTTAAGAGTATATGAGAGGTACCGACCAAGCCGGGGACATTGCATGGGGGGGGGGGGTAGCGTTGGTTGGGAAGGGTACATGGGAGTAACCTATGTTACACCTAGGTCAGGGAAGGCATGCAGGGCAGCATGGATGGGAGAGAGAGAGAGAGAGAGAAGGTTGTGCAAGAGAACCATGTGGTTTCAGTAGAGCAAGCGGAAGAGAGGTGCAAGTCAAGAAGGATGCATGGGAGGTTGCAGCAGTTGCTAAACGAAGCAATTGCTAAATGAGGACTACCTGTGTGATGAAATCAGTAGTCCTTGACTAATTAACAACTGACTTAGATCGCACTGATGTATGCGCACCTGCCCTGCATGACTGAATTTGAATCAAAGTTTATATGACACCAGCTTTTTAAAATAATACTGTTGCTAAGTTGCTGAAAAGCTTGTATAACACACCCTGAAATTGAGAGGAAGCAGGCTACAAATCTAAATTGCATGGGAAATCAAATCAAAAGATGGAGTTGAAAGTGATTTAAAAGCTATTGAAATCATTACTAACAGAAGTAGGACCACATACAATTGGCTTTTAGTTGTGTTCTCTCTTTTTTTAACAGATATTTCAGTGAAAATTGCAGTTCAAATGTTACATTGAGCTTGTAAATGAAAGAAATATGCCACTAATTTATCTCGTATACATGGATTGTTATTCTTGTTTTAGGTGAAGAAGGAGGAACATGGTACATTGATCTTAAGAACAAAGGTGGCAGTGCAGGAATTGGTGAGGCACCTGGAAAGGTCGATGTGATTATGAACATGTCTGGTAGTGACTTTGTAAAAATGTTTTCAGGTAGGTAGCTTGAAAATGTTTACCCTTGTTTAATCAGATTTTCCCCTCCCGAATCCTTCATTTGGATTATTGCTTTTTGAAATGGTTCCTATTTTTAGAGACAGCTAGCTATACAATGGGAATAGTATTGAATTTTGTGCTCAATTGATGGAGGTAATCTGAAGTTGTACTGGGTGGTACTAAACTCAGCTTTTAGTTTCTATTCAAAACCTATGCTAACATTTCACAATTAATTAATGATGCACAGGTGTTCAAATTGAGATATAATGGGAGGGGAATACTCACTTCAAAACACAATGCCGCTCTAGTTACTCAAAGCTGACACCAACTTCATTTTTAACCGATGTTCTACTTTTGTACCCATCATCCTCAGGGTCACAGACAGGACTTAAGGTTTTTAAAAAAGTTACCCTCCTTCAGTTGAAAGTAAATTGTTTGAAACCAACAGATCATAGTTAATCCTTAACAAGAAAGAAGAAATATTTGGGAAGACACTTATGTTAGGGCTCCAACAAATCCACCCTCATTCAAATCAAAAGTCTCTAGCCGCATCTGAGAGAAAAGTAATTGATTTATTAGGAGTGGCCATGTTGGCGTAAGCTGGATGCAGCCAATACTAAATTACACCATACATTTCCCCCTTGACCCTGGTCTCCCCCCCACCCCCTGGATGTGACTTCTCCAATGGGACACATCCATCTCCAAGAGTCATCCATCATGCTCTCCAATAACATTCTTATGCTCCGACAACTTTGGGCTGCTGGGATCGTTATCTAGGCATTTCAAGAATGCCTTGTTTTCCCCTCTCCCCTTTTCTGGCAGCTAAAAAGACCAAAGAGTATCTTTTTAGTTGACAACCTACTTCAGTCTCTGAATAAGTTTTCTAGGGGAGAGAAGTGGTCCTTCAGCATTGGCATGCTCAGATTTCCTATCCCAAGGGCCTTAACTTGATGACTCAAACTTGATGACTCACTCTGCCACCACAAAAATCCACTTGTTAACACACACACACACACTGCCCCACATTTCAAAGATGGTGCAGGAGATGAATATAGAAGAAAAATGAGCAAGGTTCTAGAATTCTTAATCTTTTAGTCTGGAGGAGGGAAATAAATTGGCATCAAATTGCAGAGGCAAGTAGTTGCATTGAGTACTATCCTTCTGAATTGTGGAGGTGCCCATTACCAAGTCAATCGCAACTTCAGAGATCCTCTTTCTCTTATTAGCAATGAAACTCTTCCCTGCCTAAGATCTAATTCTAGTTCATCGGTTTCTGACAGCACCATATCACTGTAACATTCTAATCTGGAATATTGTGTTTCTCATGACACTAATCTCAGCATGGAGGATAAAGGAACCTTCTGTGGAAAATGTTTTGTGTATCCTCCATCAAGGCAAGGTAACCTAAGAATGGATCCCTGCCTGGATCGGAAGAGGAGTTCAAGCTGTCAAAGATCATAAGCAATTGGATTACTAGATTGTAATTGGATTACTGGATTTTTGGATTTGTGCTCAGTTTTGGCACAGGTTTTGGGTAGTTGACACCATTGTGCTAAGTTCCAAGGTGGTGTATTTAATTTTGGTTTAGCTTTGGCAAACTCGGCCAAGTGTAAGTGTTTACAGGTAAACTCCGATTTAACAAAATATGCAAATCAGATTACTGTATTTTCCTTGACTAAATATGGTTGAAGTTTTGTTTAATTGAAAACACAAAATGCTTGTTTCAGAGACCTTTCATTGAAAAATAGAGGGAATAGTTATAGTGTACATCTTTTGTGTCCTCTTCATGTGCTATTTGCCTGAGATGTTAAGGAAATGATGATTTTAATAAAAAAAAACCAATTACAGCCATGTTGATCCCTACAGGGAGGTAGAGAACATCAATTCAAACTTTAGTGATATTTTTATTAAAAGCAACTAAAAGGACATAGCAGGGTTGACTATCTAAGCTTTCAAGGATCTTTGGAGGTCATTTTTAGGTAACATGTTCCTATAAATATAAAAAAAGGAAGAAAGAAGAAACTTTAAAAATTAAAGCAGAAGTTTAACTTTGACTAGCTTAATGGCCTGATATTTAGAGTTTAGTGCTTCTTGCCTTTGTGTGTGTATGTGTGAGAGGGAGAGAGAGGGAAGGGAGGGAGGAGAGAGAGGGGGGAGAGAGAGATCTTGAATTCTTCTGGGGAACTTGAAAGACCATATATCCTTTTAGGTCATTTTGGTAGTATCACAGAGATATGAATTTTGGCCATTTTTAGATGAAATTAGTAAACAAAAAAAATATAGAATCTTATATTAAGAGATTCTTAATGTTGTTGTTTAAACTAAGAAGATGTATTTACTGAAAAACCACCCAGTTTCTATTAATAAATTCAATAGAAGGATTCAGGGAGGGAGATATTTCAAATGTTTATGATGGCTTAATGTGTTTTATCCTTTTCCCCTCCCCCAGGCAAATTAAAGCCAACGATGGCTTTCATGTCTGGAAAGCTGACAATCAGGGGAGATGTTGCCTTAGCAATCAGATTGGAAAAACTGATGGCTCAATTCAATTCCAAACTTTGAAAATGGGGAAAATCGGTATCAGCTGAACTTTCAATAAATATGTAATGCTTTGCTGTTGAAGATAATGTCTCTTATTTAACATATTTTGATTTCATATGGATAATATTTGCATAATAACTGAACCAGTCCTAACCTGTTTTGCTTGGAATTAAAGACTATTATTGATTAAAGCAAATATTTGCTGTAATCACAGCACATATGACAAGAGTTAATAGATCATCAACTGACATTAAAAACACTGATGTTTTAATTAGACCATTAGTATTTCTATTTTATTCTATTTTAATTTAGAAAACATCACCATTTTGTTTTTTTCTGAGATGTCTATGTATTTCTAAATTGAAGACGCTATAAGCAAGAAATTTAATAACATGCAGGAAGACTCAGTTGTTTTGTTAATATTTAAAAAAAATTACATGAGTGCAATTTTTAAAAATAACAGTATTACCTTTGGTGAGGGTTTTTTTTTTTTTTTTTGTTATGTTAATGCTTGGAAACACAAGTGCCTTTTAGATTTTTTTCATGTTTCAATAATTAAATGTAACACTTTTGTAGTGCAAAATACTAATAACCAAAAGATGACAGAGGAAAGTTAATGTTTTCTGTCTCTATCTCTCCTTCCATTTATCAGTCATCTAGATTTTTTGAAGCCCAGCTTGGTATCTCTACACTAATAGAATCAGGTATTTTGTTAAGGGGTTTTACTTCTCTGGAAATGCTCAGAGATTAACAATCAAATGTCCTGCCAAGATTGCCTCAGATACGGTAGTATTTTAGCATAATAACTTTTTAAAAATACTGACTGCTGTCTACTGTCAAACTGTAACACAGAAAGTGGAAATAAAACATGTTCACATGTGCGTGTGTGGTTAAATACATGGTTTGTATACGATGGTTTTGTTTCTTAAACGTGAAAGCCAGTTTGGTGTGGTGGTTAAGGCACCACACCAGAAACCGGGAGTTCTAGTCTCTCCTTAGGCATAAAGCCAACTGGGTGACTTTGGGCCAGTCACTACCTCTTAGCTCTAGGAAGGAGGCAATGGCAAACCACTTCTGAAAAAGCTTGCCGAAAAAACCTGCACTCTTCTTGTCCAGACAGTCCTGAAGAATAGACATGATTGAATCGGAGACAAAAAAAATATTTGTAAGCATTTCACTAAACAATGAGGCTGCAGAAACATTGTAGGATGTTTTTCCCCTCAATATAACTGAAATATCTTATGTTGTATTTATAGCCTAAAGTTAGAACATACAAGAAGCTGAATTTTTGCAGGTGTAGAAAAGGAAACACATGCGGTAGATAAATGTTTTATTCTGGCACAATCCTTTGTTATTCTTTCTTCATGAATAAAATCAGATATAATTGACTAGAGGAAATCATTTGTACCCCAGCATTTTGGACAATATTGACTTAGTACAATATATTCATTTGGACCAAAATTTAGCAGAATGTTGGTTAAGAAATGTTTCTCCTCTTCTACATTCTAACGTTTTCATCAGTCAATCCCAAACTGCAAAGGCCTATGGCCCAGAAATTCTCCTCTGCTTGACAGAGCAAAGTGATTGTGCTTGGCCTTTGAAATGCCATGACATTACACTGTTTGTAATGTTGGAGTCTGATAGAACTGGAAAAGAGATAATGGGATTATTTTTCCTTTCCAAAATTCAATTTATTTGAAAAGCTAATAACAGAAAGCATAAATGGAACAATAATTAGTTGTGGAAATACAACTTGAGATTGAGTGTGTAAATACATTTACAAAGTGATATGCTGGTTGAATGTAGATACCTGAATAAGCACTTGTAGATTTACATGGTTAGGGCTTAGACTGTATGTCAGCCTTTAACTGCAGAAAATTCAGTCCAAAATAAGATACACACAAATTGTAACTTAAAATCCAAACAAATCAAACTGAAGTAATTAGCTTGACAGGGCAGGAGAAGGAATTTCAGACTTGAAAGCACGGCAAAACTTCCACAATTGAGAAGACTCCAGGAACACAGATATGCCATGAGAATACAAGATAATTTCACCTTTGCTCCCAACATTTTGCGCGCAGCTTCCTTTTTTTATACACTGTATTCCCAGCTGCAGCTGATGAAGGGAATCGAGGCCCTTTCCTCCCCCATAAGCCACACAACCCACCTTGCTCTCTTCTCCTTCCTCCTTGCATGCCCTAGGATGAAGAGAGGGTGGGCCTGGGTCTTCCTCTGAATTCCCCCTCCCTTGCTCTACCTCTCCCCAGCTCTGCCCAGCCGGACTTTGCCCTTCCCCAGTTTCTTCCACAGCCAACGGAGCCACATTCCCACTCCCTGTCAGCTGTTTGTCTTCCTCCTCCGAATCAGATTCCGACAGGGGCACGATAGTTACTAACTTAACAAACAGAAGTGATTCGCTTAACAACTGTGGCAAAAAAAGGTTGCAAATTGGGGCAGGACACACAACATAGCAACGTAAACTTTGGGCTCAATTGTGGTTGTATGTTGAGGACTACGTATAAGTGTCTTCACACTTCTGATTTTCAGTTCTCAACTGGAGGACCATCTTAAACATGGAAAACGAGAAAACTGCATTTCCTTCCTTCCTTTCCCTCCCTCCCTCCCCCCACCTTCTGCACCCCCCAAAATCTTAAACTTTTACATTATTAAAGGGAGCAAACTTTAAATGTTAGGTCAGCAATCCAAGTGATTGATGCTTTGTTTCATTTAAACAATGAGTACTCTGGTGCACTAAATTAGTGGCAAAACCCTTCTCTTTCAGATTGTAGGTGGAAATTCTTCTCTGTATAAGAAACAAAATCCTTCTAAGAGAAACTGAGGTAAATTCTAGAAAATTGATGAGGGAAGTACCACCTTTATAGATTCCCTTGGTTTGTAAAAAAAGAAGAAGAAGAAACTTCCAATTGCTAAGGTGAAAAGATTGCTCCAATATATACTTTCAGACTATTCGGAATTTGATAATTTGTATGGTGATTTTTCATACACAGGACAGTATGAAAATCTGCCCATCAAATTCCATCTGAAGCAAAAAGCAGCCTTACGACCATTTTTCACACTTAATGACCATTGCAGCAGCCCCATGGTCCTGTTATCAAAACTCAGACATTTGGCAACTGGTTCATATTTATGACGGTTGCAGTGTCCTGGGGTCACGTGATCACCTTTGGCAAGCTTCTGACAAGTAAAGTCAATGGGGAAGCCAGATTCACTTAACTGTGTTACTAACTTAACAACTGCAATGGTTCACTTAACAACTGTGGCTAAAAAGTCGTAAAATGGGGCAGAACTCATTTAACAAATGTCTCACTTAACAACATAAATTATGGGCTCAATTGTGGTCATAAGTTGAAGACTACCTGTATTCTGAAAACTTTCCAAAAATCAGGAATTTTAAAACGATGGAATAAGAAAGATAGCTAGTTCTCTGAAAGAGACTTTGTTTCTCCATGATTCATCCTTCTGTAAAACCGCTTTCCCCAAACTTTGATCTGGAAGTTGTAAAAGATGAAAGATAAGAGATGTTAGACACATAGTTTAACTTCTATAAAGCCTCACTGAATTCACCAGGCCCCATTTGGAATTTGCTCCCTTTTTTTCAACATGGAAGAAATTACTTAATCATATTTATATAGCTCCCCATCTGACGTATTATAGTAACTCTAGGTACTGCACATAATAAAATCCAAATTTAAATTTAAAAAGCTTTTAAAAAAGTTAATAAAACAAGATCAAACACTAAATGGCAGAAAAGCGCACAGGTAGAGAAAAATTAAATGGAGATAAGAGTCTACAAAGCAATGCTTGTTCTTATATTTATTCTTTTTATATATCAGATATATTGTTGCTGTCATTCATCACATCCTGCAAAAGGCAACAAAATAATTCTCCACTGAGGAATTATTTCAAAACAGCAGTGTGCCATGAACATGCCTTTTTAAAGTTTGTGCATGTGTTGTTTTATGTCAAAATGCTTGTGTTTGCCAGACGGTCAGTCGTTTATTTAAAGAGACACATTTGGAATGTGTGTGTTTACAATTCCCACCCTCCATGTGTTTTCCTTTACAATTCTTTTGGAATCTATTAGCTTCTGTGATATTGCAACATAAAGTACAACCTGTATGTGTGGTTGTATATATTTTGGTCTCAGCTGGATTTATCTGGTCAAACTCCTACCCATGCTTAATGTTGCACTTGGAAACAAAAGCAAACAGTTCATACCAGTGTGAATTTAGAGGCAGTGCTAAACAGCAGGGAAAGAAAAAGGAAGAGAAATAATTAACACTTGTAAAAAATATGAGATTGTCCTTTGTTGTCTCCAATTAAATGTAGAGATGCTCAGGGCTTCTATTAGGAGGCACTTTTATATCTTAATCTCCATTCCTCTCTATTTTCTTCACAACTAAATGGTAGACCATGTTATTTATGGAGATGAAGTTATATCTGTCAACAATGGATAGGAAGAAAATAAGCCTATAGGAATTCAGGTGCTGGAGTGCTAGAAAATGATTGAAAAATAATCAAAAATAAAAAAAGCCAGAGCTGTGAGACCTGAGATCATAAAAATAGCTAAGTGAACCAATCACCCTATTACAACCCTAAGGAGGAGGCAATGGCAACTCATTTCAAAAAATCTTGCTAAGAAAATTGCAGGGACTACTTTATGCAGTCACCAGGAGTCAGTGCTTAAAAGCACTATCATCTATCAATCAATTAACTGATCGATCAACTGACCAACCGACCGACACACCTACCTACCTACCTATTCACCTATCTATCCACCAATCCATCTATCATCTACCTACCTACCAACCTATCAATTATCTATCTATCTATCTATCTATCTATCTATCATCTATCTATCTATCTATCTATCTATCTATCATCTATCAAACCTGCAGTAAGTCCTACAATTGTATCATGGTCACTCACTGTACCATTTTTATTTAGAGTAAACAAAACAAGTTTCTCCATTCTCAGACTTGCAACGAAATCAAAAGAAATAATAAGAAGCTTTGTTGGCATTGGACCCCTCTAATTTTTTTCACTGTTTGGCAAAATCAAAATAAGACAGAAAGAACAAGTTCACTGGATAAAATCCTGCAAAATAGCTGATGGAAGATGAATTTAAGGATTGTAAAGCAGTCTTCAGCTATCTTTTGAACTTGAAGCTACTCGAAAAAATTAGAATATTGTGCAAAAGTTCATTTATTTCAGTAATGCAACTTAAAAGGTGAACCTTATATATGAGATAGATTCATTACATGCAAAGCAAGATAGTTCAAGCCATGATGTGTCATAATTGAGATGATTATGGCTTTTAGCTCATGAAAACTCTAAATCCACAATCTCAGAAAATTAGAATATTGTGAAAAGGTTCAATATTCTAGGCTCAAAGTGTCCCACTCTAATCAGCTAATTAAGCCATAACACCTGCAAAGGGTTCCTGAGCCTTTAAATGGTCTCTCAGTCTGGTTCAGTAGGAAGCACAATCATGGGAAAGACTGCTGAACTGACAGTTGTACAGAAAATAATCCTTGACACCCTCCATAAGGAGGGAAAGCCTCAAAAGGTAATTGCAAAAGAAGTTGGATGTTCCCAAAGTGCTGTATCAAAGCACATTCATAGAAAGTTATGTGGAAGGGAAACGTGTGGAAGAAAAAGGTGCACAAGCAGCAGGGATGACCACAGCCTGGAGAGGATTGTCAGGAAAAGGCCATTCAAAAGTGTTGGGGACTTTCACAAGGAATGGACTGAGGCTGGAGTCAGTGCATCAAGAGCCACCACACACAGACGGATCCTGGACATGGGCTTCAAATGTCGTATTCCTCTTGTCAAGCCGCTCCTGAACAACAAACAACAT